GTTGCTCCTTAACCCCGCCAATTTTCAAATCGCCATGACTCCTACAATAGTGAATATATTTCAATGAAACTTTTTTCTGAATTAAAGCTCATGGGTATCTACAAAAATGTATTAGACAACTTTTCTGTAATGTATCAAACAAATTTAGTATAAAGAAAAACGAAGTTTTAACAAAAATCGAAAGGTGCCTTTCAGCGAAAAAAAAAATTTCTAATCGTTCTAAAAAAAATATTTTTGGCTGCAGGGGTTAATTACAATCATGTTTTGTTAATATATATATCCCCGAAATCCTACCCACTTCTGAGAAAACAATTCGAGAAGGTGTAAAGTTTTTCGACCAAATTAAAATATCTCAAATCGTTCTGGAAAAATTATTTTCGGTTGCGGGCGTCAATTACAATCATTTTTTATGAATAGACATACCCCCGATATCCTGCACATTTTCGAGAAAAAAATTTAGTACGGCGAAACTTTAAACGTTAATAACATTTTAACGAAGCCTCGATCCAGAAATTGTTATTCTTGATTTTCGTCTTAATTTGGGGTGGCCGAACACCCTGTATATTTAATCCTCAGACAGCTATATCTACCATTTCAATATCGATGGCTTACAGCTCACGTATTGTGTCCATTTTTTATTAAATTCGCGTTTTTATATGCCATACGAATCTTTTGGCTCTTTCCATATACTGCATAAATATTATAGCTTCAGTTGCTACATAAATTTGTTATAATATATATTTTTATTTATTCTATACGTCGGAATTTATTATTCTGTTTGCATAAATGTAGTCTGTTTATGCTAAATTGAGAAATTTGAATATAGTTTCCCTCTGAGGTATACAATTTAGCGATTAACACAATCAATTTGTAATATCAAGTCGAAAAACAAAGACTTTTTGTTTTGTTTGAAAAATTATTCTTCGGAATAGAATACAACTAATTTAATCCGAATTGAAATTAATTGCATCCGATATGATCCCAATTCTGGAGGGGAGGTGAAATCTAACAACGGTTACACTATTAATGCACATGAATCACTGTAACTTAATACATTATTTTAACGTTAAAACAAATGAACGCGTTTGTCTTTAATTTAAATGATTTCCGTCATAGCCATTAGTAGCATTTCGTAAAATATTCCAAGCATAATAATCTGAAATTACGAAAACGATTTTTGATCTCGAATAATGAGGGCAAATATAACCAGTCGGTAGGTAGAAGGCGCGGTGTGGCTCACAGGATGCACAAATTGGTTATCAAAGGATATTACCGTGTGCTGCACCACCGATACACACTCGATTTGATGTGTTGACGTTGCTACGGTCGCTCGATACCGTCCGTGCTGGCCGACGAGTGCAAGAGAAAATATTTGCACGCACTTCGGCTCTATCGGATTTTCCACTTGCGGCCTGGGATTTTTTTTTTTATTAAAAGCTCTTCTGGCCCCATAGTCAATACGGTTTCTGTTTCGATCTACCCTCCATATCGAATGCTGGCTTCGGATTCCTTTTTTAACACGCCTGCGAATTCCCCGTTGGGGTATGTTCACTTTAAAGTGTGATTTTATTTAACGCCGGGGGAATCACTGCGTCCACTTTTTTCCCTGCTCTGTGAAATATGTTAGGACATCACGTTCCAACGTTATTGTTTACAGCAGTATTTCGCGTAAAAAAATGTGGATAACTTACCACTTTTGGCCTTAACAGTAAAATACATATGTGCGTGGTTGTGTACGGTATTTTAAAGTGAATAATTTTGCAAAGTATTTATACACGCACGACGCAATGTAAAGATCGTTCTCCATATATTTTACACCGTGCATTTACAGTTTGCCCAAAACTGTTTAGACAAAATTAATGCTTGATTCATAGACAAGTATAAAAAATGTGATTTCTTTACTTTATTTTGTAAATTTGTATTATTAATCGTCTTGAACGAGTCGCACTTAGTGTGTTTACAATACCCTTCCCATTAAATGTACATGATCTCTGGTGTACGGTTGCGCGACGTTGATCGTGACATTATACAGGACAATAATCAATGATCAGTCTAATTGAGTGGGATTGATCGCATCGATGATAGCAGTATGAGGTTGCAACGTTCCACATTGGGCGTGCATTAGTATCGGATCGTGATGCATGTCCCTTTAGTCCACACGTCATTTGGCAAAGTTATTGCAACATCCTTGATGACGGGGCTCGTATCGTCGGAACGTTAGCGCGTATACGATCCAATTATTATGAGGCATTTATCTTGTAAACGTTGAGTAGCTACTTTAAAATGTTAATATAAACGATATGTGATGCCTAATTTTTAAAATATATAAACATTTAATATTGATTTGGATATGAAATTGTGTTTGATGATAGCTTTGCTGAATTTTATTCGAAATAAGCTACCAGAATTCCTACGTCGCGTCGATTAACCCGTTGCCGTACAATGACGAGTCTGACTCGTTATAAGTTCTTGATGTCAAGTTTTACAATCATGAGGCTACTCAATCGTCATTAAGTCTCATGTATTAAAATCAACACATTTTTACATTTACGAGGTATTCGTGAAACAAATCTATTGTTTGGAATTCCAAACATTTTATATTGTAGGACGCGTCATTTATTTTCAATATTACTTAAATTACTTGAATACACATAATTTGGTCATCTGGCACCTGTACCTCTACTACCTAGTTGAAAATAGGAATTGCCGTACACTAAAGCCATAACCATAGCGATAAACCAGCGCATACTTAATTAGTTTCAAGGAATAATTTGGGCCCATCTACCTGCCCCTTGGGACCGCGGTCGACTAACCCCGTACAAACACTCAGTGTGTGGGATTTTTAGTTTCGGGAGGACTGGCCCATGAGGGATGGTCAAACTTCTGATTTGCGAATAGAATCACCTCCTATTTTTGAACTCGGTATTTAATAGAGGAACAGAACCAGACGAACTCAGTTACATCAGTTACAGTCACAAAGGAATACTTACATCAGTTACATCAGTTACAGTCACAAAGGAATACTTACATCAGTTACATCAGTTATAGTCACAAAGGAATACTTACATCAATTACATCAGTTACAGTCACAAAGGAATAGTTACATCAGTTACAGTCACGTCAGTTACATCAATTACACCAGTTACAAGAGTTACTAAAGTATACAATGCAAGAACATAGAGTACGAGTTTACGAACCTTTTATGTATAATTGTTACATTTCCTGTTAACACGTGTACTTTTCTATCTTTGTTGATAAATATAATGTGTTTGTAAATAGTTATTGTAATTATCTATTTGCTACATAAATTGACTCCACGAACTTTGTAGGAGCCAACATGAATTCTCCTTCGTGACCATTGTTTGTATGAATAAATTTAAAGAAAATTAAATAGTATAAGTGTGACAAATTATTTGAAATTAAATCGTACGTTAAGGGGTTAAGAAACGCGGCTTTGCTCGATTTAAACGACATAGATTGCAACACGCGAAATGCTTGAAGCAACAGAATATTAAGACTTTCCAATCGGCAATTTGAGAAGGCACCGGATATACGAGACCGGGACAACGGAAGATGACATAGCACGTTACTCGAGTAGTTCATTCCGCAGTAGAATGGAAACGAAAGATGACACTTGTTCCGTACAAAGAGTATGTATGGTTTTTCATCAAAGCCGTCCTAACGATTCTGTGCAGTTAAAAGTAAAACAATCCTGCGTGACAGTAAACGTCTCTGCTACGAGCGAAGGAAAGGTAAATGGGCAGAAAGAGATGGTTGGCTGAAGAGAAGAGACGGGAACGCTTTATCCAGGGGAAGTGTGTAAACAAGAGATCGTCGGTAACCGATATCCACCTGCACACGTGTCTCACAGGTCAATCTGGTGAGCGCGGAATCACGGATTGCTAGCCTGTTTGTCATGTCCCGCTTCCTCCTGCTCGTTTTACTCCTTTGCTGCCGGGTACGCAAATTCTTATTCGACTTACCGGATTTCGTCACGCAGCTCCCACATCCTGAGCTCGTGTTCCATAGAGGTCTCGGTTATTCTTAATTGTGAATATCGGATGTGCGCTTGGTCGAACGCTATAACAAAAATGGTTCATTGACTTTTGCGGTCGGAGAAACGAGATCTTACTAATGCTCTTTCGAACGATCCGCGAATTCTTAAAGGGATACTCTAGTCTAGTCATTCATTTTTATATAACGTCATAATTAATATGCACCGCTTAAAGAAAATACTGGACTCGCATAACACCACTTTTATTAAATGAAATTACGTTTCCTTCTCCGTCAATGGCTCAAGAATATCTGAGGTCATTGACCGTTCTAAGCAACACGTGGATGTAGCGACGTACCACTACCGCACTTGAAAAGTTGGCTAGAGCTATTTTAAAATATCGTCGAACTTTAAACTGCCATAACTTTTTCAAAATTTATCTGATATTGATAAAAAAGAAATAATTTCTTTAAAATCGTCCTTGAGGAGGGGTATCTAAATTTAGATTTTTCGGAATGTAACCATAACTCTTTTAAAATGTATCTGATGTTGATAAAAGAATTATTTTAAAGCTTGGAAAATCCATCACGGTAATGATTAGTGGATCATGTTAAATTATTATCATGAGTGTTAGCTGATGACTTCTGTTTGCAGTGGAGAAATTGTTGTACATCTCTTTATGATAACAACATTCAAGTGAGTTTTATTTGTTACGTGTATCGACGATCCATCACGTCTGGGACAGCTTTGCTTAGCTCCATATTTGTGGCAGTTATAGTTGTGTGATGTATTGGGTTGAATCATAAGTAATTGCCGACTCAGGTAGTGGGTTATAAACTGTTTTGGGAATTCCAAATGACCTGTAGTTCGTTTTCGCCGTCATGTTTACCTTATTTTAGAGGGTTGAACAGTTCATAAATAGCAGTCAGCGACTTCAGATCAAGTACTAGTACAATTTTTCGTGTAAGTGAATTAGAGAAGTCAAAAGCATCACATTCGTTACATGATGCTATGGGAGTTCCAGTCTGGTACTAGTGCAACGGCTACAGCAAAAAAAATATGCGACGTTATCGATGAAGGTGTAGTAGCAAAACGTACAGTGCGGAATTGGTTTGCCAAGTTTCGTTCCGGAGATACCAGTCTTCAAGATGAATCTAAACTGGGACGGTCAACGGATATCGATGACAGCGTTTTGAAAGTCCTAGTGGAGCAAAACCTACGTCAAATCACCAGAAAATTAGCAGATAAGTTGAAGTCATCCCTATCTACCATTTGTCGACACCTGGAAAAACTAAGAAAAGTCAGCCAGCTAGGCGTATGGGTTTCTCATAATTTGTTGGAGAAAAACAAGGTGGATAGGATGGCGGTTGACACTTCGCTCTTGTCAATGAACAGAAATGACCCATTTTTGGACAAGCTGATTACAGGAGATGAAAAATGGGTCACGTACAAAAATGTTACCCGGAAAAGACAATAGGCAGATAAAGATAAACAACCTCTGCCAGAACCCAAAGCCTCTCTTCATGGAAAGAAGATTCTCTCTTGCGTATGGTGGGATCGAAAAGGAACAATCCATTATAAGTTGCTAAAGCGTAATGTGACAGTTACAGCAGCCTTGTACATTGAATAATTGAACAGGGTCCAAGAAAAATTACAACAGAAACGACCAGCACTTATCAATCGTAACGGCGTTAGGCTTTTGCACGACAACGCTAGACCACATACGGCAAGAGTCACCCAGGACAAAATTTTGGAACTAGGATGGACCGTGTTACCTCATCCTCCTTATTTATTGAACCTAGTCCCCACAGATTACCATTTATTTCGATCCTTACAAAATTCTTTAAACGGATAAAAATTCAATAGCGACAACCATGTACAGGAATTCATTCAAACGTTTTTCTTAACAAAACAAGTTGACTTTTTTTGTATCAGGAATTGATAAGCTACCAAATAATTGGGAAAAGTTGTATTTAATAATGGAGAATGCGTTTTAGACTAAGATGTTGTGTAACACTTTTAATAAAGAAATAAAGTTAGTGCGAAAAAATCAACCCAATATATAGTAATAATACTACCGTAGGAAGTATAATGTAGACGCAATAATTTGACAAATGTAACGACACTGACCGGGAGTGATCCATTAAGGCATATTCGATTCTGAGGTAGAACAGATGTGTGAAGTAGATGATGTTGGTTCAGGGACCCTGGTAGTCACTTCGGTAGGTGTAGGAGCTAATGTTGTCGACGCATCATCGTTGACTCCGCCGACACTGCCTCCTGTTCATCGGGTTGTGGTGCACGGCGCAACTGATCATGGGCCACTTTGCGTGGTCTCTATCAATCACCTCTCTTCACCAGGTAGCTGTCATTGTCAAGCGTTTTGACGACATCATAGGCTTTGCTGAATTTCAGATCCAATGAGGTTTAATTACGAGAGTTATTTTTAATCAGAGTGAAATCTCCTCTTCGAAAATTACGAACTACATATAGCTTTATGTTGGTCGAATTTCTTTTTCTCTTGCTTAGCAGCTAATGACATTCGATATTGTATATGACGTTCCAGTGCACCGCTGTTAATAGTATCATCTTATGTATTTACTAAGCTGATGAGCTCAGGTGGGACGGCATGTTTGTGTCATGTGAGCAGGGTGAATGAAGATTCACTCAATCACAGTGTCTCTGTGTGTAATATAGTTAATCGCTAGTTGAAGTCCATTGTGGGTAGTGTGCCATTGTCTCATAGTTCATAATCATCACCAATGCGTTTTTCAGGGTACCCATAATATATTTGTCGTTTCATCTGGCTTACTCCTGGCGTTGCGATTGTGTCAACCTGTGCCATCCAAACACGATGTTGTAGCCTTATTTTTCATTGTTTGCAGCATAGAAAAATGTGCAACAGAATCGGATGGAATGCTTTCGTATCCCACTTCTGATAACGTCACAATTAGTATTAATCGTTTAGAATAAACGACATTGGATTCATACGACACTACTTTTATTTAATGAAATTATATTTCCTTCTTCATCAATGGCTCAAGAATAAATAACAGACACCAGCCGCCGTTTCAAGCAACACGTGGACACAGAGACATACAACCACTATAATACTGCACCAGATTTGATTGATTGTACGTTGGATTTGCTGTTTTAGTGCGTAGCAGTTAGAGGCGCAGTCCGTGTTGTATTTGAACATTATCAAATCAAAACTGAGCGATCTATAACAAAACCAACAATTTTTGAAACAATAATTGAATTATATTTTTTGGAATTTAAAAAGACAAAATTATGATACTTTTGAATTGGATTTCATCTCATGACTTTGGCCTATATTTAAGAAGTATACATAATTCTTTTTATATAAAAATACGTATAATATATATAAATGTTGAAAATGTAGTTATTTCAGTGAAACTACTTTTATTGAATATGTCAAGTTAAAAAGTTTTAGCAACACTTTAATGTTGGTTTATCGTTTTTTAAATTGTATCCTTGCGTATAAAAGTAATAATAATAATAATATTTTTTTATTTAACGAGTTGATTCCTCTTTGTGTTCATTTAAAAAAGACAAAATTTGAGGATGGATTAACTCAGAGTTAATTTGTTTTAAAAAGGTGACATATGGCGAAAATAATCGATTTATACATACCGTAGATAGTACTGTGATCCTTTAGATGAATAGCAATGTTGTATTTTTTTAAAATTGACCTATGCACCATCAGACTATACATACATAGAAGAAGATACTCCGCTCTTTAGCATTTTATATATGTATAAAAATCAAAATTTCAAATCTTTTATACGGCGAATGTTAAATAGCTGTATATCTAGTCTTCCTTGCATCTCGCTATAGTCATGGTTGAATAATGCCATAGAAATTCCCATACGGCAGAATTCATGTGTGCTGAAAATTTCCTCGAAAGATGCCAATCGATCAATTAGAAGTAACAAGATGTCGTGACAACTTTTGCAAAGGTGCATCAGATGTTACGGCTGCATACCTATAATTTTGTTAATTTTCCAAATTCAGCAATATCTACCGATGGAAATATTTTCGAAAACATATATATGTAAAAAATGAAATTTAAAAAACTCTATTTTTTCAAACTTCTAGACTAGAATCCTCCCCAAGAGGTGATTTCCATTAGGTAATGGAAACATGATTTTGAGAGAAATGCGGTGACACTTGCTGAATGGTGTGCTGACTCTTGAAGTCAGCCGCATAATAAGAGATCCAACATCAAGTGAGAAGTATATGAAACAGTGAAGCCATACATTTTTACAGTTGAATGAGCTATGATATCGCTTGGTAGAAAGATAGAATATATATCGTTTAATACCGGAATAAGAGGATATGTCATATTTTATGCTTTTCCGAAAAATAAAGTCGTTGTTCGGTGGACCACTTTATGGTTTGCCGCTAACTAAATAAATAACTAGCCTATTCTAAACGAGTTTTTCTGTCTATTCGTCGTTTTTTTTTAAAGTATTGTAGCTTTGATAATTTTTTATACATCGTTATATACACTCAGTTCCACAAGAGCTAATTTTTTCACTAGACGACGCATCTGTTTAACAATCGGTTAATTCAACTGTTTGAACACTTGGCTTCAATGCTTTGAGATTAAATCAGTAGTGTGGGCTGTTATCTACGTTGAAGGTGACAAAAATAACAATGAGTGCAGCGTACGCTAGTCGCTTCGAAGTGGTGTTTCTCTATAATCATCCAAAAGGACCCAAAATGTCGTTCGCAGCGGCCAGTCGCTACATGGGCAAGTCAGTGTCCTTTATTAAGAAGTGCGTGAAAAGGTATGAGGAAGTTAAAAATGTTGACGACCAGCCCGAACATGGCAAGCGTCTCTTAACGTCAGAAAAGGACGACAAAGCAATTTTAAGAATCTTTAAAAAGAATCCTGGGTGTTCCCTACGAAAAGCCAACTTAGTTTTAGCGAAAACGGGTGTAGAAGTGAGCTTGAATACAATTCGACGTCGATTACATGATGCTAACTATGGGTGGCGGTGCACAAAGTTGAAACCATTTTTGACCGAAAAGCATGTTGAAAAGCGTCTGTTGTGGGCGAGGGCTAATATCGACCGTGATTTCTCCAACATTATCTTTACGGATGAATCCTCTTTTTGGGCCTGGAGTACAAGAAGGCATGCGTGGTCACCTTGTGCAGTTTCCGTTATCCAGCGCACAGTGAAGCACCCGGTAAAGGTGCATCTCTGGGGTTGTTTCTGTAGACAAGGATTTGGAGTTTTGTACCTGTTTACGGACAATCTTAATACCCAAATGATGATCAAAATATATCAACATTGTTTATTAAAGTCTGCTGGAAGATGGTTTGGCTCAGATAACAGCTTGTGGGTGCTTCAAGAAGATAATGACCCTAAGCACCGAAGTCGTGCATGCACCGAGTGGAAACGCGAAAATGGCATCAGGACACTGGATTGGCTTTCTCAGTCGCCTGACGCTAATCCCATCGAAAACGTGTGGGCAGCAATGAAGGTCAAGCTCAGAGAAAAGCGAGTATTTAATGTGAAACATATGGAGGTCTCTACCCGAAACAATGGCGGAAAATCTCGCCGAAAGTATGCCTAATCGGTGCCGGGCTATAATCGGCAATGATGGCGACTGGACAACATACTAAATAAATGCATTGTAGTACAATGCTTATATTTCGAGGTCATACGTTCAATTATAAACAATTCCTTTTTTCGCAGAAAATATGACCGACACGCTCTTGTGGTAATATTCGCAGAACATGTTTTCAAGAACAGATACTTTAAAAAAAAATCGATGTTTCTGGAAATTCTGTATTTCACACTAAAGTGGCTGCACTTTTCAGTGATCCCTGTTAACCGTCGATCAACCAAGATCGATCTGGCATCATTACACTGACAGAATGACGGATCATTATTGGCATCACGGATGGCCTGTCGCAAGGCTTCATCGATCGACGGTCTGTCACGGGTTACCACCGGAATTAATGTCTGGTCAGTTACATTATCGTAAATAATTATTTCGTGAACGCTTCTACATTAAATACCAAATTATTGTTTTTCTTCCAAATTCACATTTACTTTAAATTTTATTTACGAATAACTTATTAAGCAGGTAAAACAATTTTTCATTTTTATTCTGTACTGTAAGCTTCTACAAACATTCTTTCCAGTGATACTCAGAATCTAGGAGCGCTCCGAACTAGAAAAATCAGGTAAATTGTTGCTGACGTTGAATATTGTTTTATTCATGAACACTTACTTTATTGAAACTGAAAAAAATAAATTAATAAAGTACATTGCAGGAGAAATAAAGTGAGCAGCATAACGAAGAGCTGTCACTGATAATTGATAGGTTTATTCGAGGCTTTCGAAGTCTTTACTTCAAATTCTTTAGAAATGAAAGAAAGTTGAGGTTTTCAGCAATAACTGAGATACTTGCCTGTTTTCTTATCGATATACTGCGCGT